TCACGAGTTATTTTTTTAAGATTTCCCTTCCAATGAAGTAATAAGATTATAGAGCCATATATAATCATATTAGTTGCCTTGATGAATTCCTCATTTTACTGTTTATTTTACTGTTTATATATTTCTGATAGAAAGTAAAAGATGTGTATTAATGAGGAAGCAGAATGACAGAAGTGGACTAGGTTTTTATGATAGCAAAAACAAAACATTTTTTTCTTCTACAGGATCTCTTGACGTGATGTTTGCATAATTATCGTATTTCTGTTGTTACAAGCACATTGTCTGGGATGGTATACCTTAAGTTACACAATTCCTTGTGGCTGACTTCTTATTTCTTATTTATGCAGGATTTCTTCTCAGAGAAATCAAAGATTTTTGGCGAGTTGCCTTGTTGATGTTTGTCCTGTTATATCCCACTAATGTTGACCATACTAATGATATTCTAAACAAGCACTTTCAACTAGACAAAAGACAAGATTTATTTGAGGCAGTTGAGAATGCAATTACTAAACTAGGTATGGCCAATGCTCCTTTCTATAGTCCTTACAGTTCGTTGTTAATTCATACTTGGTAGTACTTGTTTGACCCTCCAGAATATGGATTACTAAATACATATTCTTTTATTTTGTACTTGTAACCCAAAAGTTTAGGAAATATAAGTCATTGATGCTTAAGCATGGCCATTGTGTGAGTAGCCAGCTAGCCATTTAGATAGTTGCTATGATAGCTTAATATAAAATAAAAAAATGTTTTAAATTGGTTTTAGAATACGATTAAAACTGAAGATGAAAATATCCATTAGAAGATTGAAATCAATGGATGGCCCTTCTTTTGCAAGATATGAAACAAAGTTTCATCAGTTTGTGAGTACAACTTGGTGATGAATTCTAGCATACAAGCACGATGCTTGATATTGTACATGAAACAAAATTTTAACATGTCTTGTATGATGTTCAAATTATGTCGAAATGCAGGTCTTGAGAAAGTGTGGGACGTGAAACCTTTGGTTAATGGGAAGGAGATTATGAGTGTTTTGCAGCTTAAATCTGGAGAGCCACTTGTTAGGGATTGGGTAATTAATTCTTTACTTTGCAGCAACAAAAACTGCTTGCATGGCAGCTTACCCATCCCTCTGGGACTGCAGAGGATTGCCTTGACTGGATGAAGGAAACCCACTTAAAGCGTGTAAAGCTTGAGTCTGGCAATTCAGTTGATTGATCTAAAGCTATAATTAGTGTTTGTTCTATTGGATCACACATTTATTTTTTGACACATTGAGGCTGGATAAACATTTTTGAAGACCGCGAACATCCATGGTTCTGGATGCCATAGTTTATTACATTTGCAGCGAGATCGGATTGAAGTCATTTTACAGCAAGAAGATTTTATCTTCCTATAGGAGTAAAGGAGGAAAGGAAATAAAAAGAATTAGGTTAATGTGTAAATTAACTGTGTTGTACAGATTCTCATAATCTGTCCATAAACTTATATTAGAATCTGGCTGTTTAGATTATGAAATCTTAATTTATTTCTATCACATAATGTTATGTTAATTACTTAATTAACTCTCCAAGGGTAAAAATGTCATTTTGCAATCTAACGGGAGGCCTTTTTGAAAATAATTAATTCAAAGAAAATACTTAGGTAGCGTTTGGTTCAGGGAATGTTATATTACTGGAAAGATAGATTACCAGGGAATCTTTAGAGAAATATGTTTGGTCGGTTGGAATAAATTGATAGGTATGTTATAACAATATGTTTGGTTGGGAGGATAAATGAGTGGGTATGTTATGTAGATTACTAAATTGCCCTCATTTTAAAATAATAATATAATATTATTTTTATTATTATTTTATTCTATTAATTTTTTAAAATATTTCTTTTAAACCCCCCTATATTTGAAATTTTACCAAAAGACCCAAACCTATACAACTTTAATTTGTAGGAAAGTCACCCCCACTCACCCTAAACCACAGCCGGGAGCCACCACCACCACCGGAAGCCGCTGTAATGGTGATCCGGCTGGTCGTACGCTGATCAAGCCTAATTCGGCCAGATCTGGCCATGAATATGGTCGTTTCACGGCTAGATCTGGCCGTTAATATGACCATGAAACGGCCATAGATCTGGCTTTGAAAAGGCCAGATCTATGGCGTTTCACGGCCACATCTTTGGCCATGAAACGGCCAGATCTGGTCTTTTCCGTAATCCATGGTCGGAAATGTCCTTATCGGCACACGACTGGCAAGATCCTGCCGGTCTTGTGCCGATGTGACGACTTTCGCCGGTGGCCAGCGGTGGTCTTGGATGATTGAGGATATTTTGTTAACTTTTAAACTTTTTTGTGACGGGGGTATTTTATCTAAGTTCTCAAATGTAGGGGGTCTGGGTTAATTGTTATTTGGTAGACATATGAGGGTAAATGTGTCCGGAATGATAAAATATTAAGGGCAAAATAGGGTAAAAATTATGATTACCCCGGTAATTTAACATTAACACCCCCGAAAAGGTAATCTGATTATCCCCAATATTACCAATAGTAACTACTATTTACAATAAAATATTACTGTAATATTATATTACTTGACAACCAAACAAGGAAATCTTGAAAATTAAACAAAGATTATAGGATTTATCTTATTTCACCCCGAACCAAATGCAACCTTAATGTATTAGTTAATGAAATGTAGGATTAATGAGTTTTGAAAACAATGTTTTCATCACTTNTTGTCAGGGAAACATCCGAATCAAGTAAAAAGTGGAATCCTAGCGTTGATGATATGAAAAAGGAAGATGCCAAGGCACTGTGACATACTGCCACTAATCTATATCGACATTGATGCATGCCCAAGGTACTAATCTCAGTTTTAAACATGGTATATTTAGATTTACTCATGAGTATGTGTACTTGGCATTTAGGTATGTGCTTAATGACATGTATTTATGTGGTTACTTTGATGCTTTGACTGATGGTGTTTGCTGAATGAAGCTAAGATTCTGGATGCACCTAATATGAGGGATAAATTTAGTATGAACGTCATTGATTGGGCGAAAAGTAACATTCTTGCAATTGCCTTGGGTCCAGAGTTGTATCTTTGGAAATTAAAGAATGGAGAGGTACAAATGTTGATGGAATCCTTTGGGGACAATGATCGTCCAAGAAGTTTGGCCTGCTCTCACACTGCTACAATTCTCGCTGTTGGATATATGGACTCCAAACTTCAGCTCTAGTATGTTCAGGCTTCAAAACTCTTAAGCAGCTTTCATGATCATGATCAATTACTCCAGGACTTGTAATAAGTTAATTTTAAACATAATTTATATTTCGTGAATGCAGGTTAGGAATCTGGATGGTCTTCACAGAAAAGTAACAACTTATCATGGAGCCAACTGAATGGTCAGATTCATACTCTAATTGCCAGTCATTCATATTCTGACTTCTATATTCTTACCATGCTCTTATTCGCAGGTAAGAGTGCATAAAAGCACACACTGAAGAAGTATGCGGACTGAAACGGTCTACTGAAGGCAATCAACTGGCAAGTGTAGGTAATAATAAACTTGTATACAGGAGCCTTCCAGATGGGTTAAAGCAAATTATTGTATGGATTTATTTCACATTGTGATGCAGTCAAGGCCCTTGCTTGGTCCCTTATTAATCTAATGCACTTGCCTCTAGAGGAGGCACAGAAGATGAATGTCTTAAGATATGAAATTTACTAAGGGGCATGCATCAGTAGTGATACTAGAGCACAGGCCAGTGAAATGGTTTTACTCTTTGTTATGAGTTTCCTATAGAAACTGCAACAAAAGAGACATTAATTTCCTCTTATGATAACATTTTTGTTGCGTATCAGCATCTATATTTGTGTATTGTATGGTTTTCGCCTTATTCATAGCAATTTGATGTTTTATGTTTTACATGTGCAGATATATGGACTGGAGTGGAACAGGCATCACANACTGGAGTGGAATAGAGATCACAAAGAGATGCTGAGTGGACATTGCTTGAGTAACAGGGGAAATGAAAACAAGCTCTGCTTGTTGAAGTGCCTTTCCGTGACTAAAGTTGGGAAGCTAAAAGCTGCAAAGCTCTCCTTGAGATTTCCCAGGTTTTCCAATGAAGCTTCAAAAGTTTCATGTATGATTTCCAAGTAATGGTCTCAATTAATTATATATGTTCACATGATCACTTAAGAAATCTGAGTTTCATATTGAGTAAAACTCAAACATATTGTAGTATGAAAAATTATTTTAACTCTCTCTTGATAATTGAACATATATTAAGGCTTTAATTGCACCAAGTTAGAACAAATGTAGTACATCTATCATATAATCCCTGCATGATGTTATATCAATTGTTGTAAGAAATTAGTGAAGTTCAATTGAAAGCTACTATTATTGTTCCGTTAATCTTTTGTTTCTAAATCAGTTATCTCCAATTTAAGTTTTTCTTTAAATTTTTGCAGAAAGATGACCATCCTACCCTCTAGAAACTAGAATGTGGATTTGATTTATATTAATCCTTTTTATATTTTAAAGTTCTGAAATTTTGATTATAAGGAGGATCTTTAGAATTTATTCATGTAGTTAATTTATCTAATTTTCTTTCCAATTCTTAAAATAATATTTATGTATGATCAAATAAACATGTTTTAATGTACATGTAATTGTTTCTTAGTTGCTGTATTTAAAATATGATTGGCTGTAAAGTAATCCTTATAGAATAAAATAAGTTGATATTTTCTTGAGACATATGAATTGCATTGATTTATTTCATATATTAATTTTTTTGTCATGGTGTTTTATATGCTTCTGTTGTTTCACTACATTATCAATTTTGTATTTGGATGTGAAAAGGTCTGGGTTGCATCTAGTAACATGAGAAAGAAATTGAAGAGTTCAATCCAGTTACAAATGAATTCAGCACAAGTGCAAATGAATCCACTAGCTTTATTTTTGATTTAATTGAACTCCCTCAAGATTTTGTCGAATCAACAATGGATGCGGTTGCCAAAAGTATACAGAGCCCTGCTGACAATGATGGGGTAGAACCTAGTGGAAGTGGCAGCTTTTATGATGAAGATGAACCACAACCTGAAGAATTCAAATTCTTTTGTACCAGATATCCCATCAATTTAAAGGAGTTATATTTAGATGGAACTGCAATGAAAGAACTGCCTTCCTCAATTGAGAATGTATCCCGTCTGGTACATTGAATCTTAGAAATTGTTCAAGCCTTGAGAGTCTTCCAGACAGCATTCGTGAATTGAACGCTCTTGAATGTCTTAAAATTTCTGGTTGCTCAATGTAAAGATGGTCCCAGAGATCCCATGCAATTTAAGGAGTTATATTAGACGCAACTGCAATAAAAGATTGCCTTCTTCAATTGGGATGTCTCCGGTCTAGTAACATTGAATCTTCGAAATTGTGTCAGCCTTGAGAGTCTTCCAACGGCATTTGTGAATGAAGTTCTGAATGTCTAACATTTCTGGTTGCTCAAATGTACAGATTGTCCCAGAGTCCCATGCAATTTAAGGAGTTTATTTTAGATGGAATGCAGTAAGAACTCCCTTCCGCAGTTGGAATGTATCCGGTCTAGTTACATTGAATCTTAGAAATTGTTCAAGCCTTGAGAGTCTTCCAAATGGCATTTTTGAATGAAGTCTCTGAGATATCTTTATATCTCTGGTTGTTTGAAGCTTGATAGATTGCCCAACTCATCTATGGGACGTTGAAGAATCTTTATGATTTATCTTTTGACGGATGTAGAGTCAAGAGTTGTTGTTCTCTATTGCCTATTTTACCAGGTTTGTATTTCCAAGGACATTAAATTTGAATTACTGCATTCTTACAGAGTTACCCATAATCTTGGCAGGTTGTCCTTCCTCACAGATTTAAAATTAGACGGAAACAATTTTGAGACTGTGCCAACAAGCATTGCTAAACTCTCTATTTTAACCTCCTTAGCATAAGGTTTTGTAATAGGCTTCAATCCTTGCCAAAGCTTCCATGTAATCTGCAATAAGTAAAGGCAGATGGTTGCAAATTGCTGAAAGTATTATCTGGTTTTGAAAGACCGAGTGGTAAAATTACTAACAGGTACCAGTACGCGGTACCATAGCTTCATCAATTGCTTCAATCTGGATTGGCAGGCAATCAGTCGAAATGATTTTGAATGATTCTCTTTTGAAAGTATACAACATGCATTTTTCCGTCCATTGGAATTTTTTTTGAAAGATTCGTGGGGAAAAATGTGTTCTGGGAGATTTGTTAGTTTGGGAATTGAAGAGGTATGTTTCAGTCTATCTTATTCCCATATATTCATTTCTCTTCTTTATGTAAATAAAAAGCATTATATAAATTAACACTTAGAAGTAACAATTTGTAATGGTGCAGGGAAGCGGGCAAAGGTTGTATGGTTTTCCCTGGAAGTGAAATTCCGGAGTGGTTTGCCATTCAAAGTAATGGATCTCGCATAGAGCTACCACGTGGTTCGTTCAATCATAACTTGTCGGTTTTGTCGGTTGTGCCATTATCGGAATCAAGATTGTATTTCTTCTGCTTTCGATTTATTTTCTGTTGGGTATGGGTTGCGTCTGAAATTCCAAAATGGTGACAGCCATTTATAAAGACCAATTTACGACTGGACTATTATGTCACATCATGAATTCGTGGGGTATAATTTCCCTAGTATTCAAGAATTCGCTTGCAATATGGAGCCACATCAATTTCTACAGACCAAACTGTTTAATAAAAGAGTGCGGGTTCCGTTTATTGTTCGTCAAGAGTTTTGGGAAGCTAGAAAAGATCCAGATGTTCCACATTGATGAGAGGAACCACGCTCCAAGATATTAAAATCTCAAATTTCTTTAGAGAGAATCCAGTTCAAGTAATTAAATAACATATATACCTTCATCTTTATAATTAAGATCTCCACGTCTCTACACTATTTTCATGCTTTATGATTAATTTTTGAATGATTACTTCTGCTTTCAAATTCATTTTGTACATGTTCATATTATTTAAGTCAATTTAAGATTAGTGTACCAAACACTTTTGATATCTTTACATCCCAAAAAATTCTTAGGAAATCTCAAATTACAAAGTCTGAAAAATTTTGTTTGATTTTCAGAAGCACCTAACCTTTATAGAACTCATAATTAAATAATTAGCTTCATTCACTGATCACATACATGTTTTAATGTACATGTACGCAATTGTTTCTTTGCTGTACTCAAATATGATTGCCATAGAGTAATCCTATATATACTAAAACAGGTTCATCTTTCAAGGTACATATGAATTGCATTATTATTCTATATGTTCATTGTTTGATCATGATCTTTTATATGCTTTTGTTGTTTCACTATATTATCAGTTTGGAAGTGGAAGAGTTAGTCCTATTGCAAACAATTCAACCCAAGTGCAAATGAATCTGGTAGCTTTTCTTTTGATTTGCATGAACACCCTCAGATTTGTCGAATCAACAATGGATGTGATTCCACAACTCTACCGAGCCCTGGTGACAATGATACGAAATGGATGTGTTTCTCTAAGAGTTGTCCACCGTGCTTTCTCCACTCCACCGGGTCTGACCACGATAACTTAATTCATTTCCTCCACGGAGCCCTGAGGACAGTGATGGAAGTGGCTGCTGGCCAATTTTATGATGACATGAATGACAGCCTAAGGAATTTCAATTCTTATGAAGGTCAAAGCCAATTCTTATACTTTGTTAGATGAATATATTGGTAAGTCTGGATCTCAATTTCTGAGCCAAATGCATCTGATTTTGGTTTCCATTTCTGATTCAGTTCTTTAATATTGAATAAATGCAAAAGCGAATGATACTTTCGTTTCAGGAATATATTGGTAAAGATATGCCGCTGGATTCATGCAACATTTTTGGTACACAACAAACTATTACCAGAGTTGTTATTTGTTATTCTATGTTTATACCTAGAGAATTAGCAAAGATATCGTTTATTTGTACTTGAATTTCGCTATTGTTTGCAAAAACCATCTCATCAACTCATTCAAATATTGCTTCCAACCTTCATTTATACTTTGGATAATCCAAAACCAGTAAATTGATCTTGAAAAAAGTTATCACAATTTTACTAGTAAACTAAATTCGGATTCAGAAGGAGACCCTAGCTTTAGGATGTTGGTTTTCAGATGAACAAAGTGGAATCGTGGATAAATACTACGAGAAGAATATGTCAAGCTCGGCACAGCGATAAATGGCCATTATGCCATATCCACATTGACGCATGCCCAAGGTGCAATCTCAGTTCTTATTGGGCTATGTAATTGAAGCTGAAGTGTGATGAGTTGTGTAGGTTTTGGGCTTGACCCAGTATAGCACCTATGAATGCATTTAGTATAGCCTATTGGATGCAGTTTCCGAGTAACTGATTACTACAATGGGGTTATTACAGTATATAAACAGTTTTTTTATCTCTCTACATATATTAATTAATTGGTTCGTCTAAAATACAGTGAATATGACAACCAATTACTCAGAAACACATCCACGACTCTATGCTACTCTTTGTTTTGTCATTTGAGAGACAAACCTTTTTATTGTGGTTAGTGTAAAATCCGTCAATCTTGTATAAATTTTCATTGTGAATTTATCAGAAGGAAATGTATTGTGATGCACTCTACAGTGCTTTCGTTATATCTCTTAATGTAGGTATTTATAATTTATGCCATTGTCTTATAATATATAATCTCCAATTAACAGGGGGTCATTGATGATAAAGAGAAGGAAGATGCCATGGCACTGGGACAAACTGCCTTAAGGTACTATCTCATTTCTAACTAAAGAAAGCATATTTAATTCATCCATAAGAAGTATGGGTACTTTGGATTGGATTTGTATTTGTCAATTACTTAGGAAACTTTCATTTGTGGTGTTTATACAATGAAGCTAAGATACGATGCTGGATGAACCTCATAGAAGGGATGAATTAATTTGAAAACCTTGATTGGGGTAAAATACACTCTTGCTGTTGCTTTGGTCCAGATCGTCATTTTGGGTACAATGTCGTGGCATATCTTTGGACTGTGAGTACCTTACAAGTGTAGCTTTCAAACTGCTACAAATTTGCTGTTCGATATCTAGACTCCAAATTCTCAACTCTGGAATTCTCAACCTAAAAACTCATATGCCAGTGCCTTTCATGATCTGATAAATTATTCCATATTCTGAATGTATTAATTTTAAACATAACTGTTTTTTTTTTTTCCTAAATGCAGGTTAGGAACCTGGATGGTCATACACAAAAGTAGCAACGATGTTGTTGAACCATTGGAGTGGTTGCATTGTAACATCAGGAGGCCTTGATGAATCCATATCATCATGGTAGTTTAATTTATTATCTCTTTCATGGAAGAAAGATATCTATTTATTTCATCTTTCACTGTTCTATTGCTAATCATTCATATATAGCGCCTTCTACATTTTTACAATGCTCGTTCACAGTTGTGTGGGGCAATTTTACCTCCTGCATAAAAGCACACTCTGAAGACTGAAGTATGCGGACTGAAATGGTCTACTTAAGGCAATCTCCTGGCAACCAGTGGTAATGATAAGCTTGTACACATATGCGAGACCTCCAAAAAGTTACCGAACTCTTGTACTGATTTATTGCACATTGTGATCCAGCTAAGAAATGGATGTGTTAAGACATCAGCAGTGATACTAGAGCACAAGCAAGTGAATAATTCACTTCTCTGAGTTTTCTATGAAATTAGAAAATAAGAACTCCATTTATATAATATTTTGGTTCCACCTAACTTGTGAGGTGGTTTTGGTTTTCAGCTTATTTATGGCACTTTGATGTTATGTATTGCAGATACGTGATGACTAACTAATCTTTTCATAACGGAATATGTAAATTCATCAGTAGACCGTCTTTATTTTTTAGCATCAATTTTTACTGTATTGAACTTTGAGATATGGAATACTTCAAACTATACATTGGAAGATATGCAATGAAATGCCATTTGATCTAGTGATGGCTCCAATCTCCATATACTGAGCTTAAGATTTAATTATTTAAAAAAATTAGATAGATAATAATAAAATTAAATGTAATTATTTACAATAAATTTGATAAATAGCAAAAATTATATATTTAATTATTTGTAACAAATTCAATTGCAATCAATCCTATAAATTTTTCATTTTCTAGGATGGACGAGAGGGGGCTATTGGACTTAGACTTTTTCTTTATTTCCTTATTCATTAATTTATTCATGCTTATTCTTCTTTTTACCTTTTGTTTCAACTGTAGGCCTGAATCAAAACTTATAGAGAAGATTATTGAACATACTTTGAAGAGATTGAATGATATGTTGTCTATTTATAGTAAGAAATTGATTGGAATAGCAATGAAGATTCAAAAAATTAAATCTTTATTATCTAATGGGCCAAAAAAATTATGCAAGGTAGGGATTTGGGGTATGGGTGGTATAGGCAAAACAACTCTTGCTGATGTAGTTTTCAACGACATCTCAAGTCAATTTGAAGCTTCTTATTTCACCAAAAATGTTAAAGAAGCATCGGAAAAAGGTGAACTAAGTCACTTGCAAAAAGAACTTTTTTCTACAATATTAGAGGATGAACACATCAATATAAGGCTCACATTCACAAAAGAAAGGCTTGAACGGAAGAGTGTGTTTATTGTCTTTGATGATGTGACAGATTTAAAACAAATAAAAGAATTAATTGGAGATCTTGAATACGTGGGTGTAGGAAGTCAAATCATTATAACAACAAGAGATAATCAAGTCCTTAAAAATTGTGGACCGGATGATTCTGCCATATATGAGGTCAAGGGATTATGTAGTTATGAATCTCTTCAACTTTTTAAACAACGTGCCTTCAAACAAAACCATCCAATTGATGAAGTTTATATGAAGCTATCAAATAGAGTGATAGATTATACAAAAGGTTTGCCTTTAGCTCTTGAAGTCTTAGGCTGCTTTCTACTTGGTAGAGACAAATTTGTTTGGGAAAGTGCACTGGATGAATTAAAAAAATCTCCAAATGATGTTATCCAAACAGTGCTTAAGATAAGTTACGATGGATTAGACTGTAGAGAGAAGGATTTATTTCTAGATATTAAAATAGGATGGAATAAACATCTAGTTGGCAGGCTCAGTTCACATATTGGAATAAGTGTTCTCATTGATAAAGCTCTTATAACTATTTCATACAAGACCATAACAATGCATGATTTGATTCAAGAAATGGGTTGAGAAATTGTTCGACAGGATCCAGTTAATAAATTTTGCCAACGTAGTCGATTGTGGCATTGTAATGACGTCTATCGTGTACTGAAAAGGAATCTTGTAAGTACAAAAGACATCAGCTTTCAATTTCTACCGTATAATATTTGTGAAATCTTGAAAAAAAAAAAAAAAAAAAATCTAGAAGATTATCATTTTAATTTTTTTTCCTTGTATTAGTGTATGTGGTATTATATGTAATTGGGCTGATTTATTGTTTGGTTTTGACTGTAGCGAACTGATACGATACGAGGCATATGTTTTGATATGTTCCAAATGAGAGAGATACACCTGGATCCGTATGCTTTCTCGAAGATGCATAATCTAAGATTCTTGATTGTGAATAACTCAGATCAGATAGACTATAATAAGGTGCATGGTTTTGAAGGCATTGAATTTGATTTCACAGAGCTAATATGCCTCTATTGGAAAGGTTACCCCTGCACATTGTTGCCATTGAATTTTGATCCAGAGAATCTTGTCGTACTTAAGATGCACTGCAGCAATCTTAAACAACTATGGACCGGTATCAAGGTATATGTTATTTCACACGAGAATTCTCTTTTATAAATTTTAAATATTGTATTTTGTTTTTCATTTGTGTTGTTAATTTTAAGAGATGTTATTCTATCTGGCTGCTCTAATCTCAACACTGCTCCAAGGATCTCATGTAATATGAAACGATTGTGTTTGGATGGAACTGCAATAAAAGAATTATCATCTTCGATCGAAAGTCCCTCGAGACTAGTTCAATTGGATCTTAAGGGCTGTTCAGGGCTTGAGAGTCTTCCAGGCGGCATTCGTGAATTGAACTCTCTTGAATGTCTTAAAATTTATGGTTGCTCAAATGTAAAGATGGTCCCAGAGATCCCATGCAATTTAAAGGAGTTATATTTAGATGGAACTGCAATGAAAGAACTGCCTTCCTCAATTGAGAATGTATCCCGTCTAGTAACATTGAATCTTAGAAATTGTTCAAGCCTTGAGAGTCTTCCAGACAGCATTCGTGAATTGAAGCCTCTTGAATGTCTTAAAATTTCTGGTTGCTCAAATGTAAAGATGGTCCCAGAGATCCCATGCAATTTAAAGGAGTTATATTTAGACGCAACTGCAATAAAAGAATTGCCTTCTTCAATTGGGAATGTCTCCGGTCTAGTAACATTGAATCTTCGAAATTGTTCAAGCCTTGAGAGTCTTCCAAACGGCATTTGTGAATTGAAGTTTCTTGAATGTCTTAACATTTCTGGTTGCTCAAATGTACAGATTGTCCCAGAGGTCCCATGCAATTTAAAGGAGTTATATTTAGATGGAATGCAGTAAAAGAACTGCCTTCCGCAGTTGGGAATGTATCCGGTCTAGTTAACATTGAATCTTAGAAATTGTTCAAGCCTTGAGAGTCTTCCAAATGGCATTTTTGAATTGAAGTCTCTGAGATATCTTTATATCTCTGGTTGTTTGAAGCTTGATAGATTGCCCAACTCATCTATGGGACGTTTGAAGAATCTTTATGATTTATCTTTTGACGGATGTAAGAGTCAAGAGTTGTGTTCTCTATTGCCTATTTTACCAGGTTTTGTATTTCCAAGGACATTAAATTTGAATTACTGCATTCTTACAGAGTTACCCAATAATCTTGGCAGGTTGTCCTTCCTCACAGATTTAAAATTAGACGGAAACAATTTTGAGACTGTGCCAACAAGCATTGCTAAACTCTCTTATTTAAACCTCCTTAGCATAAGGTTTTGTAATAGGCTTCAATCCTTGCCAAAGCTTCCATGTAATCTGCAATAAGTAAAGGCAGATGGTTGCAAATTGCTGAAAGTATTATCTGGTTTTGAAAGACCGAGTGGTAAAAATTACTACAAGTACCATAGCGGGTATCATAGCTTCATCAATTGCTTCAATCTGGATTGGAATGCAATGCAGTCGAAATGATTTTGAATGATTCTCTTTTGAAAGTATACAAACATGCATTTTTCCGTCCATTGGAATTTTTTTTTGAAAGATTCGTGGGGAAGAAATGTGTTCTGGGAGATTTGTTAGTTTGGGAATTGAAGAGGTATGTTTCAGTCTATCTTATTCCCATATGATTCAATTTCTTCTTCTTTTATGTAAATAAAAAGCATTATATTAAATTAACACTTTTAGAAGTAACAATTTGTAATGGTGCAGGGGAAAGCTGGCAAAGGTTGTATGGTTTTCCCTGGAAGTGAAATTCCGGAGTGGTTTGACATTCAAAGTAATGGATCTCGCATAGAGCTACCACGTGGTTCGTTCAATCATAACTTTGTCGGTTTTGTCTGTTGTGCCATTATCGGAATCAAGATTGTATTTCTTCTGCTTTCGATTTATTTTCTGTTGGGTATGGGTTGCGTCTGAAATTCCAAAATGGTGACAAGCCATTTTATAAAGACCAATTTACGACTGGACATATTATGTCACATCATGAATTCGTGGGGTATAATTTCCCTAGTATTCAAGAATTCGCTTGCAATATGGAGGCCAACATCAATTTCTACAGACCAAACTGTTTAATAAAGAAGTGCGGGTTCCGTTTATTGTTCAGTCAAGAGTTTGAGGAAGCTAGGAAAAGATCCAGATGTTCCATCATTGATGAAGAGGAACCACGCTCCAAGATATTAAAATCTTCAAATTTCTTTAGAGAATCCAGTTCAAGGTAATTAAATAACATATATATACCTTCATCTTTATAATTAAGATCTCCACATCTCTACACTATTTTCATGCTTTATGATTAATTTTTGAATGATTTACTTCTGCTTTCAAATTTCATTTTGTACATGTTCATATTATTTACGTCAAATTTAAGATTAGTGTACCAAACACTTTTGATATCTTTACAATCCCAAACAAATTCTTAGGAAATCTCAAATTACAAAAGTCTGAAAAATTTTGTTTGATTTTCAGAAGCTACCTAAATCCTTTATAGAACTCATAATTAAATAATTAGCTTCATTCAACTGATCACATACATGTTTTAATGTTCATGTACGCAATTGTTTCTAAGTTGCTGTACTTCAAATATGATTGGCCATAGAGTAATCCTATATATACTAAAACAGGTTCATCTTTCAAGGTACATATGAATTGCATTGATTTATTCTATATGTTTCATTGTTTGATCATGATCTTTTATATGCTTTTGTTGTTTCACTATATTATCAGTTTGGAAGTGGAAGAGTTGAGTCCTATTGCAAACAAATTCAACCCAAGTGCAAATGAATCTGGTAGCTTTTCTTTTGATTTGCATGGACACCCTCAAGATTTTGTCGAATCAACAATGGATGTGATTCCCACAACTCTACCGAGCCCTGTGGACAATGATGACGCAATGGATGTGTTTCTCTTAAGTCCACCGTGCTTTCTCGCAACTCCACCGGGTCTGGACCACGATAACTTAATTCAATTTCCTCCACTGAGCCCTGAGGACAGTGATGGAAGTGGCTGCTGGCCAATTTTATGATGAACATGAATGACAGCCTAAGGAATTTCAATTCTTATGAAGGTCAAAGCCAATATCTTATACTTTTGTTAGATGAATATATTGGTAAGTCTGGATCTCAATTTCTGAGCCAAATGCATCTGATTTTGGTCTCCATTTCTGAGTCATGTTCTTTAATATTGAATAAATGCAAAAGCTGAATGATACTTTCGTTTCAGGAATATGTTGGTAAAGATATGCCGCTTGGATTCATGCAACATTTTTGGTAACAACAAAACTATTATCCAGAGTTGTTATTTGTTATTCTATGTTTATACCTAGAGAATTAGCAAAGATATCGTTTATTTGTATTTGTATTTTGCTATTGTTTGCAAAAACCATCTCATCAACTCATTCAAATTATTGCTTCCAACCTTCATTTATACTTTGGATAATCCAAAACACAGTAAATTGATCTTAGAAAAAGTTATCACAATTTTACTAGTAAAACTGAATTCGGATTCAGAAGGAAGACCCTAGCTTTAGGATGTTGGTTTTCAGATGAACAAAGTGGAATCGTGGTATAAATACTACGAGAAGGGAATATGTCAAGCTTGGCACAGCGATAAATGGCCATTATGCCATATCCACATTGACGCATGCCCAAGGTGCTAATCTCAGTTCTTATTGGGCTATGTAATTGAAGCTGAAGTGTGATGAGATGTGTAGGGTTTTGGGCTTGACCCAAGTATAGCACCTATGAATGCATTTAGTATAGCCTATTGGATGCAGTTTCCGAGTAACTGATTACTACAATGGGGTTATTAACAGTATATAAACAGTTTTTTAATCTCTCTACATATATTAATTAATTGGTTACGTTACTAAATAACAGTGAATATGAGCAACCAATTAACTCAGAAACACATCCACGACTCTATGCTACTCTTTGTTTTGTCATTTGAGAGACAAACCTTTTTATTGTGGTTAGTGTAAAATCTAGTCAATCTTGTATAAGATTTTCATTGTGAATTTATCAGAAGGAAATGTATTGTGATGCACTCCAAAGTGCTTTCGTTATATGCTCTTAATGTGAGTTATTTATAATTTTATGCCATTGTATTATAATATATAATCTCCATTAACAGGGTGTTATTGATGATAAAGAGAAAGGAAGATGCCATGGCACTGGGACAAACTGCCTTTAAGGTACTAATCTCATTTCTAACTAAAGAAAGCATATTTAAATTCATCCATAAGAAGTATGGGTACTTTGGATTTGGATTTGTATTTATGTCAATTACTTAGGAAACTTTCATTTGTGGTGTTTATACAATGAAGCTAAGATACGATGCTGGATGAACCTCATAGAAGGGATGAATTAATTTGAAAACCATTGATTGGGGTAAAAAATAAACCACTTTGCCTGTTCTTTGGGTCCAGATCGTCATTTTGGGGACAGATGTCGATGGCATATCTTTGGGACTGTGAGTACCTTACAAGTGTAGCTTTCAAATGTACAAATTTGCTGTCGATATCTAGACTCCAAACTTCTCAACTCTGGAATTCTCAACCTTAAAAACTCATATGCCAGTGCCTTTCATGATCATGATAAATTATTCCCATATTCTGAATGTATTAATTTTAAAAATAACGTTTTTTTTTTTCCTAAATGCAGGTTAGGAACCTGGATGGTCAATACACAAAAGTAGCAACGATGTTGTTGAACCATGTGAGTGGTTGCAATGTAACATCAGGAGGCCTTGATGAACCATTATCAATCATGGTAGTTAATTTATTTATCTCTTCATGGAAGAAGTATCTAATTTATTTCATCTTTCACTGTCTTAATTGCTAATCATTTCTAGTCGCCTTCTACATTTTTACAATGCTCGTTCACAGTTAGTGTGGAGCAATTTTACCTCCTGCATAAAAGCACACTCGAAGACTGAAGTATGCGGACTGAAATGGTCTACTTAAGGCAACTACTGGCAACCAGTGGTAATGATAAAGCTTGTACACATATGCGAGACTCCAAAAAGAGTTTAACCGAACTCTTGTATGATTTATTGCACATTGTGATCCAGCTAAGAAGATGGATGTGTTAAGACATCAGCAGTGATACTAGAGCACAAGCAAGTGAAATAATTCACTCTCATGAGTTTTCATAGAAATTAGAAAATAAGAGACTTCCATTTATGATAATATTTTGGTTGCCCACCTAAACTTGTGAGGTGGTTTGGTTTTCAGCTATTTATGGCAATTTGATGTATGTATTGCAGATACGTGGACTGGAGTGGAATAGAGATCACAAAGAGAGCTGAGTGGACATTGCTTGAGTAACAGGGGAAATGAAAACAAGCTCTGCTTGTTGAGTGCCTTTCCGTGACTAAAGTTGGGAGCTAAAAGCTGCAAAGCTCTCCTTGAGATTTCCCAGGTTTCATGAAGCTTCAAAAGTTATGTATGATTTCCAAGTAATGGTCTCAATTAATTATATATTTCACATGATCACTTAAGAAATCTGAGTTTCTATTGAGTAAAACTCAAACATATTGTAGTATGAAAAATTATTTTAACTCTCTCTTGATAATGAACATATATTAGGCTTAATTGCCCAAGTAGAACAATGTAGTACATCTATCATATAATCCCTGCATGAGTTATATCAATGTTGTAGAAATTAGTGAAGTTCAATTGAAGCTACTATATTGTTCCGTTAATCTTTTGTTTCTAAATCATATCTCCAATTTAAGTTTTCTTTAAATTTTTGCAGAAAGATGACATCCTACCTCTAGAAACTAGAATGTGGATTTGATTATATTAATCCTTTTTATATTTAAAGTTCTGAAATTTTGATTATAAGGAGGATCTTAGAATTTATTCATATAGTTAATTTATCTAATTCTTTCCAATTCTAAATAATATTATGTATGATCAAATAAACATGTTTAATGTACATGTAATTGTTTCTTAGTTGCTGTATTAAAATATGAGGCTGTAAAGTAATCCTTATAGAATAAAATAAGTTGATATTTTCTTGAGATATGATTGCATTGATTTATTTCTATATTTAATTTTTTTGTCATGGTGTTTATATGCTTCTGTTGTTTCACTCCGTTATCAATTTTGTATTTGGATGTGAAAGGTCTGGGTTGCATCTAACATGAGAAAGAAATTGAGAGTTCAATCCAGTTATAAATGAATTCAGCACAAGTGCAAATGAATCCACTAGCTTTATTTTGATTAATTGAACTCCCGCAAGATTTTGTCGAATCAACAATGGATGCGGTTGCCAAAAGTATACAGAGCCCTGCTGACAATGATGGGGTAGAACCTAGTGGAAGTGGCAGTTTATGATGAAGATGAACCACAACCTGAAGAATTCAAATTCTTTTGAAGGGTAAAGCCTAATTGGTAAGTCTGGATCTCAATTTTTAATCTAAATTCACCTGATTTTGCTCTCAATTTTTATGCCATGTCGTTAATATTCAGTAAGTGCAGAAGCTGAATGATATGTGTTAGACTTATGCGACATTTTCTGGTAACAACAAAATTATAATCTTGAATTGTAATTGTTATTCTAAATATATTCATAGTTACAGAACTATTTAAAAATTAATTATTATAGTTTGCTATTGTTACAAACTGTTTGCAAAAGTTTCTCAAATTGTTGCTCAACCTTCATATACTATGGATGGTCCAAAACCCAGTAAATTTTTGAGAAAAAGTTATCACAATTTTACCAGTGAATCTGAAAAACTTGATTTTGTTTGGCCAATATGACTTTCTGGTATAAACCAATTAAATAAGAACTAAAGCCAATATTGTTTTGGATTTGAGCTTTGCTAATATATTATGTTTAAGCAGAAAAAACTCATGATCCATAATTAACTGTCACACCTGAACTTTGAGTTTTGATTCAGAAGGAAGATCAATTTGGATGTTGGTTGTCGGGAAACATCCGAATCAAGTAAAAAGTGGAATCCTAGCGTTGATGATATGAAAAAGGAAGATGCCAAGGCACTGTGACATACTGCCACTAATCTATATCGACATTGATGCATGCCCAAGGTACTAATCTCAGTTTTAAACAAGGTATATTTAGATTTACTCATGAGTATGTGTATTGGCATTTAGGTATGTGCTTAATGACATGTATTTATGTGGTTACTTTGATGCTTTGACTGATGATGTTTGCTGAATGAAGCTAAGATTCTGGATGCACCTAATATGAGGGATAAATTTAGTATGACCGTCATTGATTGGGCGAAAAGTAAATTCTTGCAATTGCCTGGGTCCAGAGTTGTATCTTTGGAAATTAAAGATGGAGAGGTACAAATGTTGATGGAATCCTTGGGGACAATGATCGTCAAGAAGTTTGGCCTGCTCTCACACTGTACAATTCTCGCTGTTGGATATATGGACTCCAAACTTCAGCTTAGTATGTTCAGGCTTCAAAATCTTTAAGCAGCTTTCATGATCATGATCAATTACTCCAGGACTTGTAAAAGTTAATTTTAAACATAATTATATTTGTGAATGCAGGTTAGGAATCTGGATGGTCTTCACAGAAAAGTAACAACTTATCATGGAGCCAACTGAATGGTCAGATTCATACTCTAATTGCCAGTCATTCATATTCTGACTTCTATATTCTTACATGCTCTTATTCGCAGTAAGAGTGCATAAAAGCACAAGACGAAGTATGCGGACTGAAACGGTCTACTGAAGGCAATCAACTGGCAAGAGTAGGTAATAATAAAACTTGTATACAGAGCCTTCCGATGAGTTAAAGCGAATTATTGTATGGATTTATTTCATTGTGATGCAGTCAAGGCCCTTGCTTGGTCCCTTATTAATCTAATGCACTTGCCTCTAGAGGAGGCACAGAAGATGAATGTCTTAAGATATGAAATTTACTAAGGGGCATGCATCAGTAGTGATACTAGAGCACAGGCCAGTGAAATGGTTTTACTCTTGTTATGAGTTTCCTATAGAAACTGCAACAAAAGAGACATAATTTCCTCTTTGATAACATTTTTGTTGCGTATCAGCATCTATATTTGTGTATTGTATGGTTTTCGCCTTATTCATAGCAATTGATGTTTTATGTTTTACATGTGCAGATATATGGACTGGAGTGGAACAGGCATCACAAGGAGATACTGAGTGGACGTGGCTTGAGTTGCAGAGGAACGAAAACAAGCTATGCTTGTGGAAGTCCTTTCCATGACTAAAGTTGGAGACTCATAATGCTGCAAATGCAAAACTTAAAGAGTCGTTGAGCAATTTCCCAGGTTGACTATTGACAAACTTTAGTTTAGAACCCAGTACATATATTGTATTTTAATATATATAACAAAGTACTCAAATCGATGTTTTGCAGAGCCCTGATGGTCTAACTGTGTATCAGCCTCCGTCCTTCTAGGAGATTTTTTAAATTGAACCACCTACCAATGAAGATTCAAGTTTTATCATTGACAGTCGTCTATCTCAAACGACAACCAGAAGATTCAATTAGTTAATACCATACTCCTAATTTGCTTTCATTTATTAATTTTCATTATTAGAGAACTATTGAAAACGTTATTTGTTTACATTTTTGCCTGCCGTAGTTGATAGTTTTTAGAATATGATCCACTCACAATTTCATTACTTAAATCAAATGGATTAAAACCTGAACTTCATTATCCGTCATTTTTAGTGGGAAAGTTGTGGAAATCACAGTAGACCTTTTACCATTTTGCCATTGTTGCTTGACTGAGTATATTAAACTTTATTTATGGAGTTTATTATGGTGTGTACTGAATATAAAATACTTCTGCCGCTATTCCAATGCAAATGAGAGACCAAATATATCATGCTCAATATATCCCTAATGTTTGTTGGACTTATAAAAAAGTTTTATGATCTAAGATAAGATTTTGTAGGGTGGAGTGAACAATATTGCATATATACTTGTTAGGCAATTTTCATGCATAACCTGATTGGACGTATTACCTTCTTGAAGAGTTTATATCACTTCATATATGCTTGATAGGATTATTCATGACAAGATTATAAAACCCTTCTTCATTTCATATTGACAACAATTAAAATTATAATTTCATCTTCCCAAAGTAGATTATCACAACTAGGGGGCTAAACTGTCAATCCATTTCTTATGCTAGCTACTTAGATTAAGATAAGGGTTCTAATTGAAAATCAAAATTCAGAGGACCGCTGTGATATTTACACCCCAAACATTATGAAAAATCAAAAGCTACATCAAAAAGTGGCTAGTTTTTTCAGCAAGACACTAAACCCATCTGAAAATTTTGAGAGCAAACAGAAGTTATCGAATATGCGAGAGATAGTTAGAAGTACAGTTTGGATCTTATTATTATGTGGGTCAGTTTCATTTTCTTCTGGAAAAGAAACCCAGTTCAAAGTAGATGGCAAAGTAATAGAGCTTGACGAATCAAACTTTGAATCAGCAATCTCAGCCTTTGACTTGATCTTGGTCGATTTTTACGCTCCCTGGTGCGGCCACTGCAAGCGCCTCGCTCCTCAGGTCCCTCCATCTCTTGTCTTTTCAATTCTGTACTAAATTGCCCTTTTAATGTTATTAAAGTTACCTGAAGTGTGATATTTTGTGTTATAAGTGTGATATTGCGAGGTATTGAATATGTAAAAGTGTGTTCTTTGAGTTATAAGTGTAGTATTACTATTGTTTGAACTATTAGTTTTTGCATAGGGTGAATTAAGCTGCGTTTGATGTAGAATTTAAACATGGTTATTCGTTTCTGGAACTAAGATATACAAGAAATGTTATGAAAAATGGGATTGATTGAGATGGGTTGGAATGTTTTCGGAAACAGATTTCGGATACTATACTAAAAGCTAGTGTAAAATCAAAAAATGAAAACTTTTAGAATTATTATGTTTAAAATATTGAGTTACAACTTAAATTTTGAATTGTATGTTTTCGAGAATTATTTACGGATGACTAACTAAATGGCCTGCTTAGCTATTTCATTTCTTGAATATTCTACCATTTATTATGATATTACTTGTTATTTAAACTTATTGATTGTGCAAGTCGGGTAAAATAGTTATATTAATTTGTTCAATATTGGTGTTGAATTGTTTGATGTTGGCTTGTAGTTAGATGCAGCTGCCCCTGTTCTTGCTGGATTGAAGGACCCCATTGTTATTGCTAAAGTAAATGCGGATAAGTATACTGGCCTTGCTCGTAAATATGAGATTGAGTATGTATGTTTTATTTTTTCTTTTATTGCTACATTTTAAATTCAATTAATATTTTTGTTAAAATTTCAGTTGACATTGTTTTTTAATTTAATTTAATGGATTCAGTGCATTTCCGTCGCTCAAGATATTTATGCATGGCATTCCCACGGAATATTATGGGCCAAGACAGCCAGATTTGCTTATCCGTTATCTCAAAAAGTTTGTTGCTCCTAATGTTACCATTCTTAATTCGGATGCTGAGATCAAAGATTTTTTTGATAATGCTGGTACTTTCTTTCCTATATATATTGGATTTGGCTTGGGTGAGTCAATCATATCTGACTTAGCCCTAAAGTATAAGAAGAAGGCATGGTTTGCTGTGACAAAGGATTTCTCTGAGGATATGATGGTGTTGTATGATTTTGACAAAGCTCCAGCGCTGGTTGCTATTCAGCCAACTTACAACGAACGCAATATCTTTTATGGCCCCTTTGAAGGTTAGTTTGTATTCAAATAATCTATTTAGTTCAGTTGGTAAATTGTGTTAAAGTTTTATATAATTCATGATAATCAAATCTTGCTTTCCAAAAAATTGAAAGCTAGTTGCCTGTTGACACTTTTTCCTACTAGATTTTTGTCTTTGCTTTAAATGGTTTATCATAACATCTAAATTTCTTGGTCTTTTTAGAGCTTCATTTCTACGTGGGCTCCAGTTGTTTTAGTGGAAGAACAAATTGATGGGAAAAAAGTTACTGAATGATATGTCTTTGCTGAGGTGTTTATGCATGATCGTGATTTCATCTTGTTTGATGTGTGCTTCCGAATTTTCTTAAAATGTTCTATTTTATGCGGACGAAAGCCTTTTGCACACAAGAAAGTCATTTTTGAGTCAAACACGAAGGGGCAACATTATAGTAGTCTGTCTTCAAGATTCATTTATTTTGTCAATTTTCATTTGTATATTTGCAAGGGTTATTACTGTCCCTGCATTTATCCAGTCAGGAATAGCAATTTTAGGTTACATATGTTCACTTGTTTTTCAAGAAGTTGCAATTGAATGTTTGAGCACTTGTATTGTTGAAAAGACTAATTAAAGCCCATTATTTGAAACCTCAAAAGAGAAAGTTAGTTTTCATTTAGTATGGAGTTTTGATGATTGGTATAAAGATACTGGTGTGTTCTTACCTTATATCTTTGATAGATAATCGAGGATCTAATAATTTTCAGAATTTATCTTTTTAATTTTTTTTTTTTTTTTAATTAGACTTATTTCTGTAAATTGAGTTTATTTATTTATTTGTGTTAGTAGGTTTTATGTCGTAGATTTTTTTGCCCTATTTTTTTAGGTCTTTCCACTGTCTAAGTAAAGCCTGTATTCTTAATTTTGTAGTAGACTTGATTGATTATTGGAATAATCATATTATCGTTTTCTCCCCCAAATCTCTCTCTTTCACTCCTGATGTTTCTAGTTTAATTTAGGGATGAGGCAGTAACTTTCAGCTAGTAAGAGTATATGGATCCTTGCATTGAACAGCCGGTTGCCAGCAGAGTGGCTTCTTTCATGATCCAATATTACTGGACTTTAATTTTATAAAATAGGTCTCCATCTCTATTAGTTTAGAAAATACATGTTTGGAGTCCCATCAGTAGAGGAAATGGTTTGTGAAGTTGTGGAAGTCAGCTCTTTTTGAAGGAATGCGAGGGCTTTAGGTTCATGAAAAGTTAGATTTGATAAACCTGAGCATAAACTATATAAGGGATGCAATGGTGAGAATTGGGATGTGAAAAAGGAAAAGTGACACTGGAAACATGATTGCTAATGTGGATAATTTAGAGGGAGAGGTTAGGTTGAATAACGAGTTCTCGAACAAAGGAGCAAACAGAATATAGTTTGAATAAATTGTGTTTAAAGAAGGCATTTGTGGAGATTGAAGCTAAAAGCTCAGTATGCCAAAGGATGAGACAGTATTTCCAGATTGCTTCTAGTATTTTGTACCCTTTTATTGTCGATAGGATCATGAAAGAAGCATGGTTGGTCCAAGCTTAGCTCAGGAATGATGACAAAAGTTTGATGGTCAACGACGACAGAAGTTTGATGGTCAATTAGCAGTCAGTAGATTTCTGTTGGTCTTCAAGAATTTACTTTTAATTGAAAGGGTCTTACATGGATCTGCTTTTGTGTTGACAGGTCTTTCATCGTGTCTAAATTTGAAGTAACCATTCTTTCCTTCCCTCCCTGTTTTTGCCAAACAATTTATGCATCTTTTAAAAAGAATTTAACAGCCACCCCCAAAAAACCCCAATATGCTTTTCCTAAGCCATGTCCACAGAAATAGTTTCTTGGCTTGAGATTGTACTAGTGTTTAATCGAAGCCCAAGGTGCATTATAGTCAAACATTACATAAATTTCAAAGAAAATAAAGATCTAGCTTTAAGGTGATTAATTGAGCTAATTTGGGGTTCCTATTACTGAACTTGGATGTTCTTGTTTACAGCAACTATGACAACTGAACTAAAATAATATAATTAATTTGAGAATGAGATACTTAACAATCTCAGTTTGTTTAGGTTTCTTCTTTATATTCTAATAACTCCGCAAACCTTGCGGTCCCTATGGATTTTCTGCTTCTATTTGAGTTATAAATTATTGAGTGATTTGGATTTTTTTTTCTTTTTCATTTGTAAATTCTATTGTTTGTGCAAAGCAAAAGTAGTTCTAACCGTCCTCTTCTAAATATGCAGATGAATTTTTGGAGGAATTTATAAAACAAAATTTTCTTCCTCTATCTGTGCCTATAAACCACGACACACTGAAGTTGCTGAAAGATGATAAAAGGAAAATTGTTCTGACATTGGTGGAGGATGAGGCTGATGAGAAGTCAGAGAAATTGATCAAGCTGTTGAAGGCTGCTGCTTCTGCAAATCGTGACTTAGTTTTTGCATATGTTGGAATTAAACAGTGGGGAGACTTTGCTGATACATTTGGCGTCAATAAGAAGTCAAAATTGCCAAAAATGATTGTTTGGGATGGCGACGAGGAGTACTTAACTGTAAGTATTTAATTTTGAAATTTTGCTAAGTTTCTTGCTGCAAGTTTCTGAATGATAACTTTTCCATTCCTGTAAAATAAATAAAAGAAACATGAAACTTTTTGGAGTACCGAATTATCAATTAAAAGAAAATTAAGTCATAGTGCATAATTGAGAGAGAACCCTCCTGGCTGAATAACTTTTATTTTTTTATTTTTTATTTTCCTGATGTATTGACATTATTTTCTAAGACGCATAAACCAGAATACATACTTATATATTACATTTGTTTTATGGAAGGTTATCGATTCCGAAATTATTGATGATGGAGACCAGGGATCTCAAATTTCACATTTCCTTGAAGGCTATAGAGAAGGACGGACCGAACAGAAAAAGATTGCTGGTCCATCACTGATTGGCTTCATCAATTCACTTATTGGCCTTAAAACTGTGTACATCATTGTATTTCTTGTGGCAATGCTGATGCTTATCAGAAGCCTTGGCCAAGAAGACGTACCTCCTATTGGTGTTAGACCCCAGACCGACGAGGTCGATGCCCCAAGGGATGAGTATGGACCTGAAGACAAGGAAGATTAGGGTAGGCTTCTGCTTGCCTTATTTCAAACAAGAGTCATTTTGATACAAAATTATTTTATGGATGAAAATGTTAAGAGTTGAGCATATATTCCTTTCCTTGCTTTTTCGTTATCATGCATTTCTTTCAAGAACCCTTTTGCACCCATGTTAATTTATGTAGAAAATTAACTAGTCAGTTTAAGTAGTGGTGTATAAAGCTTCATTTTCATCTGTCTTTTGATAACAACATAAGAAGTCTGTTGATTCAGGGTTTCTGAACTCATTTTATCTCCTAAATTTTCTTGGTTTCTGAATGCTTGGAAGATGAATCATGTTAATGTTTGCAGAAGTACTTGCAGTGATTTGCTTACAATCATCCTCTATCACATTTTATTATAGATAAAGTCTTCAGTAGGACGGACATTTGCATAATCAGGTTGAGCATGCAACGGTCACATGTGCTAACAAGGCCAATATATCCTTCGTGTTGAAAAATTTTTGGAAGACAAAAATGTGTATTTTGGCTTTATGGAGACTACAATTGCAGAAATATTTTCGGGTCCTGTGTTACAATTAAAGATACCATCTCAAGGGAAATTTCTCCCAGTCAAGTTTCATTTGTCGTGAAATTATCAACTTGGGGAAATTTTGTCCTCTTGAAAAGAAACAAGAATGTTAAAGTGCATCATATTTCTCATCATAATAATTACCACAATAGTAATGCCCAATCCTCCTCTTCTAAAGTTTTGAAACGCAACCTTTTTTTAGTCTCAAGATATTGAAACAAATTTTTGGCATAAACTTTCAACATAAAATTTTGACCATTGATTCATGAAATCTAATAGTTTAGAAATCATTGACTTCACATTCTAAAATAGATCAATGATTAAGAATTTATTTAATAAATCTGCTTCAAAATTTTATGTTATACAGATTCTTCAAATAGAAAAGATGAGAACAAATAAACAAAATAGTAATGCTATGTGCACTAACCAATTTGTACTAATCCAAATACTAATATTGAAAATTTGAATTTTCTTTTTTTGGGAATTTCAAATTTTCAATGTTAGTACTTGGATTAGTACAAATTGGTTAGTACACATAGTTTTATTCAAAAAATTAACACAACATCAGTGTCGACAAAACCCAAAACATCACAATACACTCAACTTCTCTGTACAAATTTGTCGAACATCGGTTTTCCGAATCACACCTATAAATTTGAAGTTACAAACAAATCACGCATTCTTATGCTACAATGTACAAATCCGGCGGCTTATATCACAATCCTAACCTGACCAAAAAAAAAACAGCTCATTAAATCAGAAAGAACCCAAGTATGACATGACATGTCGCTGTAAGATAACTTCGAGGTCAAAAGAATGTGCCATTGTAGGTTCTCTTACCTCTTAGCTTTTTCGAAATACTGGCATCTCCACTCTAGCTCTGTACAAAATTCTCAGAACTCCAAATTAAGCTTCTGGAAGAGAATAAGCCGAGGCATAAGGAGAGAAACTTGCAGCAGACTCACTGCAATGCAGTGGATGCTGCTGATGACTGGAAGAACCAACAAAACTCAGAGATGCATTGCTTGGGCTTGGAAGATATGGGGACATGTATCTCGAGTTAAGAGGTGATATGGAAGGGTAACCCAAGGAGTGGGGTGAAACTAAATATGAAGCATGAGATCTTTGGGAAGATGCATTTCTGAGATCTACAGAACTCCGACTAACACTCATGCAAGGAGATTGACGATAGGACCCAACAGATTGTGGAATATAAGGAGTGGAAGCAAGAGGGTGAACATGAGAGATAGAAGGTGATCGTGACACTGATGGGCCTATTTGCATAGCAGAAGTTGATCCTATTGAAGATCTGAAAGATGACAGTACAGATGAGGAGGCCACAGAGGCAGGGTTTGATGAAAGCAATGGTGTACATTCTGATGCTGGCGGTTCACCAGTGCTAGTTCTAGCATCACGCTTGCAAACCGGGCAAAAGGTTCTCCATGATGTGAGCCAAGAATCCACACAGAAAGCATGAAATTCTGTTGAAATACCAGAGGCAATATATTTAGACTTACACTTAGAAAACGCAGAGGTTGATGAAATAAGATTCAACAAATACATAGATTACATGTAAAATGGAAACAGCATATGCCTTGCCCGCAAACAATTATTAAGAGATGATATTGGATAAACTGTATCATATGCAGACCAATGTTATTGAAACTAAAGATTCAATTCATTAAAATATTTATTCATCATCATCATCATCCATTAAAGCCATCATATACTATTTATTCATCTGCATAATTTACCTGCCTCCAATTTACTTGTGAAATACTGTTTTTGATTACATAGACTAGTGACTTACTCGGTACAAAAGAGTCATTGCTATTGGGATAAAATCAGGCATGGGCGAAAAAGATAGACTCGTAATAGGCTCAGGACAGGCTTTAGTTCTTTTTTTATTTTCCATCGGCCCGAGTCTAGGTCTCAATCAGGATAAATGTTCCTAGACTTGCCATCCCTATTCAAAATTTAGCTATACATATAGCCATATGAGATATTTTATAATAGCATATGGACTTGCAAGCATCTTGGCTGATAAAAACACCATGAAATGGATCCTCCACAGTTTAATGTCAAACCACAAGAAAGTGTATTTACAAATCAACAACGCAAATGGTCTCATCTATCTAAAGCATTTAATTTCAGATATTTGGCACAAGGAAACATATAGCATATCACTATTTTCCTAAATTATATTCTAATTAGGATTTTAGGTTATTGAGAATGTTATAAATTACATGCTCAGGGAATTTTTAAGTTCAAAAGTAAGACAGTTGATACCAACAAGATTAGACTGCAGTCCATGTAAGATCTTTGATTTCAACTGTGCTGCTTATATTAACTTCACAACTTCATGAGAAAAAATGCCACCTCATGAAGCTCAAAAAATAACTAAAATGAGTCCAAAAGGGGGAAAAAAATGAGCCGCCATGCAAGTGTTGGGACCAAAAATGGATGCAACATGAATACATGTTAAGGTGCCCACAGCCAATACCATAATATAATAGCATCTATGTTGCTAAGCAGAAGTAACTAGTGTAATTTACCACTCAAATCGTTAACTAAATTCTTAAATCATAACACACAGAAAAACTTAAGGAAGCAAAGCAATGATTAACAAATTAGCACAACAGAAGCTGGATTGGAATATCAACACTACAATTTTGTTGCACAAAGCATCATCCAAAATGTAAACCCGGTAAAAGACAATGAAACCATACTAGTACAAATATGGTTTATGCAGAACTAAAAATTAACACGCTATATCATTTTTAACAGGTTAAGAAGGCTTACTGTGATGACACGGCAGGATCCTGAGTTTCTCCCCAACACTGTAGTCCTCAAGGCATATGGCACACGTTCTCGAGGTACAATTATCCTCTAAAACAGCAGTAAATATCAGGCTTGGCATTGCTTTCACTAAGCGTCTACTCATTCCATGAAATTCCCGCACACGAGAAGATCGAGGTTCCCGTCTTATACGATGCCTGCGTACAAAGAAGCAAGTAGCCAGAACTGCAGACATGGCAAGAAGGGAAATAAAAGAGATTGCCATGATTGACCATGCTGAGTTTTCAAAACTTGGTATTATCCAGAGCTCCACGTCAGTTAAACCAGCATACTGTTTAAGTATTTCACCTGAAGCTTTGGACACAAACACGGCATGTATTTTTATGCCAGCAGAGTTTCCCGCCACTGCATAATTCCACGAGTATGAATTAGAGGCTGCCAGGATGAGACACATTATAATTTCCATTTCAAGTTTAAATAAATTTAAAAAAAAAAAAAAAAAAAAAAAACATAACTCATCAAATTACTCAAAAAATTTACAGAATAAATATGAGCAAATTTCTTTTACCTCACATTCAGACCTTTTTAATCACATTTTCTTTAGTCACAATGTCACAAACTTGTGCAAGTTGGCTATCAACTCACGTAAAAAATAATTAGCTATTACAACCTAACCTGTCACAATTTCAAAAGAAGAAACTTTTGATATCCCTTTTATAAGTAATATCAATTTTGGTGACCCAATTAATAAATGTCTGTAGTTAAGTCCAACGAAAATTGTCCTAAGTTTTATGAAACAAAGTTCTATTCTTCTGGGTTTTATGAATCCCTGTCATACTAGAAATAGTAAAATTAATCTTGGTCCATATGCAGACAACTTGTTCAGCCTTTTGTAAATCCGAAGTCTTTTAATATATTATCATCAACCGTTTTTAATAAAGAAATATTAATCCTATTTCTTTAATAAGAAGCTTGTGTTGCTTTAAGTTTTCTTCACATTTTCCCTTCCCTCTTGAACTTTTGGTGAGTGCATTAAGATTTATGTAGCTTTTTTAACCCATTCCTTCTCGTTCTAGTTCTTGTTACTCTCATTAAAACCTGCACAAACAGATTTAGTACTTCTTCTAAACCTACAATCATCAGGCCCAGTGCTCTATGCTGACCCCCCCAATTTATACAGAGTTCTTGTTACTCTCATTAAAACCTGCACAAACAGATTTAGTACTTCTTCTAAACCTACAATCATCAGGCCCAGTGCTCTATGCTGACCCCCCCAATTTATACAGAGTCCTAGACTTCCAAAGATTGGCAAGTGGCCAATAAACTAAAGTTTATGGTTTAGAAATTTATACAAATCTCACTTGCATCATTCCAAATGGAGTGACAGGCTACCTTGGATATAACTAACCAACCTAAAATATTATACGATCCCTCATTAAATCTTGTTATTTTGCATCTCATTGAGCAATAATCATGCTTTAAGATAACAACAACAAAAATAGAGAAAAAGATCATTACTTGCAACCAAGACACCATCATCATTGTCATAGACAATAGCAGCTTGGAACCCTGCCTTTTGAGCTTTTCTGACTTTATCTTCGAAGCTGCATCCCCCTCTAACAATCAATACAAATGAGGCACTCCTATTTGAAACTTTTTCCACTTTATTATTCAAGTCTGAACATGCATCAAGAGGCTCCGCTCGGTACAATATCCCACATTTACCAGACCCTTTAATCGCCCGTGCTGAAACAATCAAATTTAACCCCAAAAAAAAAAAAAAAACCCGACATCAGTCATAAACTTGGATTCACAACCAATCAAGTATCATCCAGAATAAACAAACATATACACATAAATATTCATACTTAAATTTATATTTAACTTCTTTTCCCAGAAAATCATACTATGAAGAAACAGAAACCACAGCTTGTTACCTTTTAATCTCATTTACTCCAAATTAAAGTAATTATTCATTCAATTAGTACTGTTTTCTCAATTTGAAAGCTCAGCTGAAAGCAACTTAAACTCGCCTTAGCTCCACATAATTCAAAAAATATATTTATATTAAAAAAACCACTAAAATTCCTAAATTTTCCAAGATTTCAGAGCAACCAAACAGAAATTAAAATAAATAAATAGAAAGAAAACTAACCGAAATTAGCTTCGATATCATCGAAAGAAAGAGTAACGTTGTTCCCAATCAAGACCACACTGGCTGACGTCACCCAACAAACACTCAGTAAGCAAAGTAAATTTACCACAGCAAGATTCTTCATTTTCTCCATTAATTGAAATCTCATAAACCCTAATTTCTATTTCTATTTGATTTTTTTTTTTTTTTTGAAATTTCGACACAAATTGACACACAATTCAACTGGGTTTCAACTCAAATTGAAACATCGGCCTCCATTTCACAGAAACAAAGAGACACACAGAGAGAGTATATTCGATTCTCTCTCTGGATTTTAATGCTCAAATGGAAAATCGATATTTTATAGGATAATTGTTGTTATATTTTAGAAAGCTTATTCAGATCCTATAAGTTTTTCTAGTTACAGAAACATCCATTAGTTTTAGAATATGTATATATAAAGATTTTTATCTAAAATTTTTGTTATATTTCTTTTTTAACAAACATTTCTAATTCTATATATTTTGTAAATCTAGAAAATTTAGATGAAACCATGATGTTATTATATGAATTTAGCCTTTTTTTATATTTTAATATAAGAAAATACTTAAAGTGCAAGAATTGAGTTGTTTACATATTGGAATAAGATAACAACATTTATATAATAAAATTTAAATTTTTATAGTAATAAAGATGACATTAAAATGAGTCCTAATACAAAATATAAATTTTTAATTTTTTCAATTCTTATTTGATTTTGTTGCTTTCCTTTACCTATATAAATATTCACAATAAAAAAAGCAGATATTGAATTCTCGATTCTATAAATCCTAAAAAGAGAATGAAGATTTGAACACCATATGTATATTATTGGAGCGCATGATATATCTTTAAAATAATATCATATCATTATTTTCTAGATAGTGAATTGCATAATTACATTAACTATATTTATATGCATCTTTAAAACAATAATTTTCGCATCATAGAGGCCGTTTGGATTGGGAGTAATATTCGTTTATTCTGCATGATTCTTGTATTTGGTTTACCAATAATAAAATATTACGATAATCTTTAATTGCAAATAATGGTTACTGTTAGTAACGTGAAAGGTAATCTTATTATCTTGCTAGGGGGTGTTATTAAAACATTACTAGGATAATATGATTTTTCTTCTCATTTTACTCTTAATTAAAAACCATTTCGAACACAATTACTCTCAAATGTCTATCAAATAACAATTACTCAGCCCCTTTACATTTGAGAAATTACTAAAACACCCCAACCATAAAAAAATTTAAAGTTAACAAAATATCCCAAGCCACTCAAGACCATCGCCGACCGTTGGCATCAGTCGTCGTAATGGTGCACGATCGACGGGATATGGCCGGTCGTGCCCCAGTAAGGTATTTTCCTACCATGGATCACATATTCATGGTCGAAAATGGTTAGATCTGACGTTTCTATGGTCGCTTCATGACCAAAGATGTGGTCGTGAAACGACAACAGATATGGTCGTAAAAAGGCCAGATCTTTGGCCATGAAATGGCATGGCCAAAGATCTGGCCTTTTCAAGGCCACATCTTTAGCTGTGAAATGGCCATAGATCTGGCCGTTTTTCGACCATAGATTTGTGATCCATGGCCATTCTTAGCTTTGCCGGCGCACGACCGGCCATTTTCGGCTTTGCCAGTGCACAACCGACCATATATGGCCATTCGTGCACAATTCCGTTGACTTTCGACGGCAGTCAATGGTGGTGGCTGACTGCTGGTGGTGGCTGACTGCTGGCAGTGGCTTAGGGTGGGTGGGGGTGATTTCACTATAAATTAAAGTTTTATATGGTTTGGGTGTTTTATCAAAATTTCAAATGTAGCAAGTTAAAAGAAATGATTCAAAAAATAATATAAAATAATATTATATTAATATTTAAAAATGTGAATAATTTAGTAATCCATATAACATATCAATCTATTTATCCTCCCAACCAAACATATTATTTATTAATTTATTCGAACTAACCAGACACATTTTCTAAATATTTCCAATAATCTTCAAGGTAATCTTTATTTCTATTAATATAATATACTCTTATAATCCAACATTATATGATCCAAACGTCCTCATAAATAATATAACATTAGTTTTAGAGTGTACATATTACACATCACATAATCTATTCGTACATCTAAAGGCACCACATCAGTAAAGATGTAAAACTTACTATATATAGTATTATTCATTAATCATGAAATTAGCACCAAAATTATTGAACGATAAAGTCGTGAATCTGTAAAACGAATTATGTAATATAATTTATTCTTAGGTTTAACATTGAACATTTCATTGAAGAAAGGGGTAAGTAAAAGTTGAAGGGGTTTATTGAATTTTGGCAAGATGAGATTTGTAATAATTGAATTATAGAATATAAATATAATAGTTGGGTCGATTATCCTCATGGAGAAAGGGACAAAAAGTACTGTTTAGTCTAAATTAAAAGATGATGAGTGAGAAAGTCAGTGGATAATTCATGATAACACTAATTAATGAGTTGTTTTTATAATATTAATTTTATGGACAAGACAACTAACCCACTTGGGTTGTTTCCGGATACGGATACCCCATGTTTCATCTTTATGATAAGCGTGAACGACTTTTTCTCACAAGACAATGATTTGATGAAAACTTTTAAAATACCGTGCTATTACTTAAATTTATATATCCTTTTCGATTTTGGCATTCTATTTCATTTTTGCTTATGATTTTTTTGGTTATAACTCTATACCATAATTATTCTCTTCCTTAATTATTATTCACTAAAACTCTTTAAACTATATTATTGTCAAACTCGTCAATCATAAGCAATCATCAGCAATCAATCTTATCTACTCAAATTTAACATTTCACCACTAAAAGACTTATCAGCCTCTCATTTTCAAAAACCCTAATAGTCTAGATCGAGTTTGTATTCTGTTCGTTGCTAGAATATAAATTTGGATAATATAACAATATTTTAAAAGTTTGTGAGTGATAAAATGTTATTAAACCATTATTTGGGTGGGAAAAAGTCGTTAACTCTTATTATAATACACTTTGACCATTATTTTACACAAAACCAATGAGATGATTAAATTTACCCAATGTTCTGAAACTCGACCCGAGGTGTTACCTGGCCAAGGGGTTGGGTCTCAGTTTGCCCGATCCGACTGGTTAAACTGGAAGCATATCAGCAGTCTAGAAAGTTTAAAATCTTGCAAAAACACCCTCAAAAAAATATGGAGTAGTCCCTATAGGTTTAAAATCTACCAAATACATGCCTATGATTTGAACCTAAATTGATTTTTCCGACCAAATTCTGGTTGATTCTGGCGGCCAAATTCAATCTGACACCTCCACCTGAGCCACCATCCTCCACTCTACAAAACCCTTTAAATCCGAAACTTGGTAGCCCCCCGTTTGCCGACCTTGACTCACAAACAACGTTGCAATTGGGTTGATTTTTCTAGCCAGCTTTCGACTGATTCCGATGTTCAAAATTAAATTTGACACCACAACTTGAACCACTGGCTTCCACTCTACAAGACCCATCTAACCCTGACACTTGGTAGCCCCCCGTTCGTCAATCGTGACTCACGTATTGGGTTGATTTTTTCGGCAAAATTCGGATTGATTCCAGCGTCCAAAATTCAATTCGATCCCACCCCTTCAACCATCGGCCTTCACTTTACAGAAACCCTCTAATCTTAGCACTTGGTAGCTCCTCATTCGTCGATGATCATATTAGGGATTTGGTGAACAGTTAAAAATGGTAAACTAGACCGGAGAGGGCACCTGTCATCGAGTGGACCGGTCCAATCGATGGATCCGGTCTGGTTATTAGAACACTGCATTTACGCCCTTGAGCTTAATTCTACTAATCCAAATGATTTTTTTATCATAATCCATTTGACCTTGACCTAAAAGGAAAAATTGATTCGATAATAATATCAAATTCATTCAAAAGATATTTCGTAAGGATTTTTACCTATGTTTTAATATCTATGCCGCTTTTTATAAATCTTTTATTTTTATTTTCCTTTATAAGGGGTTCCTTGACCCCAACAGATTTAATCAAATAACAAAACTTTCACTAAAATTTCATAAATAACATAAAATCTCCATACTGTTAGTAAGATGTTATAATTTATAATATGATAGTTTGATGAATATTTACCTAATTCTCCTCTATCATTTATTTTAACATCAAAAAATTAATATAGGAAAATTTCTCTTACTGCTTACTACTATGATCATAGGGATATTTCTGTTATTAAATTATCCCCAAGGGGGTTTTTTTTTTTTTATCTTTTTTTTTATTTATTTTTTTTTATTTTCTTATTTTTTCTGTATATTGTAATTGACATAATTAGGAGATTTCGTATATTGTATCTCCCTTATATATAGTATGTAACTCTCAACGTAAAATCAATGAATTGAAAACATACAATTCTTTAAACAAACACATTTTCATAATAAAGTGGCAAGTGAGTTTTCTACCTAATTAGGTAGTTTACACTTAAATAACTTTTTTATTTTGCAATTATTCAAAGTCAATATTTTTATTATAGTGTAAACCTTTAAACCCTAATCACAACTTGTCTTCCTTAGTTAATTATATCCATCGTAATTATATTTGTACAAAATATAATTTTTTTCTTAAATTTATTTTAGAGAATATTGCTATAAACCCCCTAAGACTTTTATATACACATAAACATCTTGTGGTATCAAAAATAGTTTACCTTTAGGAAAATATGATTTTTTATGGGTTTTTTTTTATTTTTTTATTTTATTTTATTTTTTATTTTTTATTTTTTATTTTTTTATCATTTCTTTTATTTGATTCATTTAAAAATATTAACAATAACGGTTTTCAAAATACTAAAACGTGTTGAAAGCAATTATAATCTAATCATATTGAATAAAAAAATTATCAATAATTATTAAAGTTTTAATATTTATCATTATGTTAAAAATTATAAATTATATCATTTTTTTTTAAATTCGTCTCTCTTCACTTGAATTCCTGGCTCCACCACTGGAATAGGGCCTCTAATTTTAACAAATGCTAAACTATATGTAAGGGCAGAATAGGTATATTTTATATATTTGGTTAATGTCACCTTAATGGCATTTTCGTCTTTGCATAAAAAATATTATTCGAGAGTTCAGATTTTATTAACAACTATTAATTTGAGGGGGTATTTTATATCATTTAAAAGCATAAGATCTTTATAATAGACCAAAAGCTTAGGATTGATCAAATATTTCTCTTCAAAAACAAACTATTAATCAACCTGATAAGGA